ACTGTGCTGGGGCGGAGCCTGTACGAGACCAGGACATGGGTGGGGGCGGAGCCAGGGCCGAGCGGGACCGGGGACTGAGCTGGGCCAAGGTTTGGGCAGAGGCGGAGCCTGGGCGGGGTCAGGACATGGACGGGGGCGGAGTCTGGGCGGAGACTGAGCTGGGCCAAGGCCTGGCCGGGCGGGGCCGGAGACTGAAGGGAGGGCGGTCCTTGACTCGGGGGTGTGGAGTCTGGCTGGCGCTGGCTGGGGCCGAAGCGGGGCGGGGCAGCTGGCCGGACCATAGTTCAATGAAGAGCTCAAGGCGGCATTGAATCAAGACCGCCGCGACTGTCAGCTCCATCCCCCAGCACCCTTCATGTGGGTCTCTCCTTGCCCCCTCCCTTCAGGCCACGCCTGGCACTGGGCCTCTGACACCTGTACCCGCTGCTTCCCTGCAGATGTAGACTCCGGGGTCAGTCTTCCAGGTACCCTTCCTGGAGCTTCCACCTTCCAGCTGTGACAGGGCAAGGCTCTGAGCCTCTTTGGGATTTAGTGTTGTCCTCTATGCGACAGGGTGGACAACAGCCCATTCCTCTGGGTAGGGTCGGTTGTCCCCACTGGCTGGAGCTGGCCCTGGGGAGTGCTGCCCCTTGATGCAGGCTCTGGTCAGCCCACCTGCTGGTCTTTGGAGTGGATTCAGAGCTGGTTCACTGTCAGCTTCCCCATCTGTGAAGGGGGGTACGGGTGAAACCCAAACCCACAGTGCTCTGGTGGAGACGTGGCCCAGGGACATTGGTAGGGTGCTCAGGGCCACCCTCTGTCACATGGAGCCATGATGTGGTTGACATTCTGACTCCCAGCTGTGCCTATGCACCTGTCTCTGCTCTGGCCACGGGTGGGACTCACCTCAACCCGTTTCTTGAGGCAGAGGAGGGTCCAGTCCACAACCACTTAGCACAGCCAGTGCCTGGCAGACAGCAGCTCTTGCCATGTTCATCTCCATATTGTTCCATGGACATCCTGGGGTTCCTGTACTCCCCATCCCTGCCAGATAAGACTCTACTCCTTCAGTCTGGAGCACCTTCCCTGATGCCTGGCAGGGCGGCCTTGACCCTTCTCTGCTTCTTTTGTGGTGCCAGCTTTCTCTGCCCTCCCTGTGCCTGTGCTTGCTTTCCCCAAGCTCTGGAAGCTCCTGGAGGCTGGGCTGGTCCTCTCTATGCTCCTAGCATGCCCACCTTATGACTGCAGCGTGGGCTGGTCCTCTCTGTGCTCCTGGCATACACACCTTATGACTGCAGTGCCAGCACCACAGTGTACCAGCAACTACGGGCCATGGACACCTGACTCCTTTCCTTGCAGAGAAATGTGGAAGGTGTGTGAGCCCCGGACTCAACATGGACAGGCTGGACAATTTGGGCAGAAGCTGACCCATGTCTCCATTTTTTTTTTTTAATTTGAAGTCTCCAGGAGCCTCCTCACCAGGAGTGTGGGAGCAGACTGCTGGCATGGGCTCACACCAGGTGTCAGGATGGGGCTGGGCATGGTGGTCAACTGTGGGTCCTATCTGCTGCCCAGTGACTTGACTGTGCTGGACACAGGCAGGAATGAGGAATCTGGGCCCCATGAGGAGGTGGGACTTCTGGGCAGGTCTTCCAGGCCACACTGAGCGCTGGATGACTGGCGTGAGCCCCCAAGCCCAGCCTGGCAGGGATGTGTGGAGGCTGTGGTCAGGCACATCTTTGTGTGTTCACAGGCCCTGGCTGTGCTGTCCTCCCCTCTGGCTGAGTCTCTGGGACAGAGTGGAATCTACTGTGCCATGGCTGGCATCACCCATCTGCCACTCACACCTGAGGCCTCAGGTGCGGGAGCAGGGGCTCAGCCCGTGGAGCTGAG